AACTTGTCAGATTTTGTATATGATTATTGCCAGCAGCTATTATACACGCTAGCAGTAATCACTTTCTTCTCCTGGCAGGAGAACATTCCTGCCAGGTGAACATAATGGCTCCACGGAAGGGATTCCCCCATCAACACTGACTGTGTTGATGGGGGAATCAAGTGATTTTCTTTCCAGCAACCCATGGTTGCATGAAAGAAAATTGCTCCTTCCATGGCTGGCTTTACTGTGATGACACAAATGACCTACAATTTGGGATGTCAACCATAAACAACAGGGCTAAGAAGTAATTATATAGTAAAAAAACATACATTTAATGTTACTCTGTTGTTAGTCACAACACTCCGCATTATAAAATGACCATATAATACATGCTTTGTAGAATCCGTTACTGGTGTGCTTATTCTTCGTCTAGATTGTACACATAGACTAATCTGTTAAATGAAAAGTCCACCTTTTGGAACATGTTACATGTTCTACCTGTATTTAGGGTGGAACATGTAACACATTCCACCAGCTGCATCCTCTTCTCCTAACCCAGTGACAGCGAGTGGGGATCTTTTCCTGGTGCCCGCTATCACTATTTGAAAATAACACAGCCATTCAGGGCTCCACCCACATGGTCACATCATCCATTCACAGTTTCCTTTGAATGACTTGAACTACAAGTACCATCAGCCTTTCTGGATGATGGTTTTTAGTTCTGAATGGACTGCGGGGTCACTGATGATCACCTTTGTAGTTCATTCACAAGTCTTGCAGCATGTACTGCAGGTACAGGCTGAAAGCTGCAGAGCTGTCTTCAGGAGTCTGGCATTGCACCCCTGATCCACTGAAAATGGGTGCAATGCTTTCCAGGCTTCTCAGGGAAAAAATAATAAATGCAAAAATATTTGCATTTATTTTTTTTCCCCAAAGGGTGAACTTATCTTTTAAAACTCAGTCTTCACTTGTACAGCCAGTTAAATGGCAAAAAGGTAGCTTCATACAATTTGTAAAAAATATATAGAATGAACCTCCCATGCTACCTGCCTGTGCAATATAGAAAGGGGGAGCTGCTATTACCTGACTATATGCCTAGATAGAAAAAGATGTATATTCAAAACAAAATGGTGTAGCACTATCCCAAAGAATTCTATGACTTCATCCACATATATGAATCATAATAAACTGTGTAATGGTAAAACAAGTGAAAATATTGAACCACACATATGTAGTACTACAGAACCAAAGAAACAATAAGAAAGAAGAAAAAAAACACAGACTGACCAGGAAAAATGGTCAGTGTGATATAGTATACAATGGAAATGTGAATAAAAACCTCCCTTAATATCGTAAGGTGTAAATGTCCTCCCAGATGTCTGAAAGGAAGAGTGCTGACCAAGGGAAAAGGTCAGTGATGGAAACACAATAAATAGTGAATGGTTACAAGCCGTCCTAAATGCGGAAGGCTGAAAGTGATAACGGTGAACTCCCAGATGCCCAAAAGATGGCATCAACATATGTGACCCTAATTCCTAAATGCATAAATCAACGTACAATACCATTATCTGTGGGACCACAAAGGTCCTAAATATTTCCCATAAATAATAATGGCATGATAATAATGTGACACCATACAAAAAGTGACCTTCATATACAAATAAACTACTGGAAAAAGAAATGTGATCACGAAAAAAGTCCAAGTAAAGAACAAGTCCTATCATTGTGGAACATATGCAGATATCAACTTCAGATGCAGGTGGTCTCAGGAAATGAATCCATCACCAGCTAGATTGCCCCCTCACCTCAACACATAGACCTCACAGGGCCAATGCGCTAGAAGAATACACTTAAAAATGCGTCCTTAAGATCCCTCTGGTCTTAACCAGGTCTTAGCAATGATGGTGGTATCCCCCCGTTCACCAATTAAACTTCTGTCTTCCACTCTCTCTTTAAAGTGCTCTGCTGTATGCAGCCATCTTGTAGCAACCTGCTCGGGGTGAAGAGAGCTCGCTGCACCACCCACCTAACCCACCTGACCCCCAGGAGAACACAGACCTGATGTGCACAACTTTAAGAATTGATCATGTCTATTTCAACAATATATGCATTTATTTTTTTTCCCCAAAGGGTGAACTTATCCTTTAAAACTCAGCCTTCACTTGTACAGCCAGCTAAATGGCAAAAAGGTAGCTTCATACAATTTGCAGTTATATCATTCTGTTCACATGTGAAATTGCCAGACTGAGACGTCAACTCTAACTCTAATTCTAGAATAGAGACGTAACTTTGCCTTTAATTCTTTTAAGGATTTTAACTTTGGAACTGCAAGTGTATGAAATGAGAAACACTTTTGTGCTTTTTTTATGGAAAAGCAAAATTGTGCCTACAAATCAAGCTTGTAATACTAAATCTTCCTTGGAAAAAGCAATAGACCCTTCAAAAAATCCAGTCACTTTCAGATGATATTAAATGCAAATTTTCCAGTAAAATCCTTTTTATGATATGCTAGGCTGTTTCTAGTGGACAGTTGTAAAAAACCCAAGTCTTGTGAATATAAGTCCTGAATATTGCTTGCTGGCAGAGTTATTCCTCTTTTGCTGCCAATCATCAAAGCCAAAGTAATAGGCAGTGCAAGTGGTGGGGATGCATTTTCTATGTAGTAATACATAACATGATGAAGCGAGTACTGATTATGGTTTACATTTGGAAACTGATCCCCTCAACCAAAACATATTTAGAAACACAATATAATTTTAAGAAAACCAAGATTGATTTTTACAGTTTACCAGCCATGTGATTGTAGGATTTACAGAGATAAAGGGAATGGAGGTTCAACTTCTGCCTCCACAATCCACAACTGCAATGTTATACAAAACAATTGTAATTTTGCCAGGGCTGATTTTAGACAAAGTGGTGCCCAGGGCAAAAATTAAAGTGGGGCCTCAAATGCTTAAAATATTGTACTATGTGGCAGGATGTCTTAACAAAATCAACAACATAGCATAAATACATCAACCAACTATTTTTTACCAAAAAGAAGTGATGAGGTTTATAGAAAATGGACTTAAGTATTCAGCAACATACAGTATGTCTTAAAGGGGGAAGTTATATTGAAACAGAGTCTATAGTGTACAATATACTTTAATATATGGAGTTTTGGAGTCAAGAGTATGCAGCATAAATCATAGTGTATAATGTGCAACAGCCAGGAATATGTAGCGTATAACATACCATATGTAGTGCAGTGGTCAGAAGTATGTAGTATACTGCCCTTAAGATTGCTTACAATGGGAGGAAAAAATGCCTCCATAGTGGTTAATGGGAGGAAGAATGATCAACATTCACGGTCCAGCAATGGTGTCTATGGTTACCTACTGGCTACATGACAAAGCCTTTGCCCAATGGGTGCTTTCTTCTGTTTAGTCTTTAAATGAAGTAAATTCAGAGGACTGAAAGCATGATTGCACTTTCAAACAATTTTTATAATTTTTGCTCTCTGCTGATATGTTAATAATACCACCCCCCATACACATACTTATCTTGATTTTCAGTGTGCTGGGCCATGCCTGTGCCATAGATTCCCATAGGGTCTATGTGTCATCCCCTGGCATACTGAAGATGAGTGGCAGGATATAAACAACCCCACTGACCACGGGCAAGATTGCAAGTTATGCATTTGGGAAGGTGGGGCTACATTTGCTTACCAGATAGCGTCAAAAAGGAAAAGTGCACTTGCTTTCAAAGTACACTTATCCTTTAAGGAACAGTGTTTAAATACTGGCTGTGATCTATAGCATGTGCAGTCCTTGGCCATTTTCTCAATCTGCATTGAAGCACTGATGGAATGTTGTGGTTAGTTCAAGAGTGGAGGAGCTTTTGATTGTGTGCTGCAGGGGCATAGATAGGGGGGAATATGGGGGTCCTCTCCTAGCACATCTGTCCATGGGGAAAGAGCAGCAGCTAGGGCTAGGCTATTGCAGTCTGTCTAGTGTCCCATTTAAGGCAGCAGCAGCACAGTTCAAGAACCTTCTCGGCTGCATAGCAGGTAGTTCTCCACCTTGGCCAAAGGATGGACAGACCAGTGGAGAGAGGAGAGGAAGACTCTTGGATGTATCAGAGACTGGGTAAGTTGTACCCACCAAAGCCACAAGGAGTGTATAAGGAGGAAGTGTGGCCAAAACTGAAGCTTCTCTCTCAACCCAGAGAAAACAGAGGACTCATAAAGCTATATAAATTTATAATAATAGTGTGTGACTCTGGAAGGACATTAGATTGTAAGTTCCTCTGGTGCAAAATACATCAGTTACATAAATATAATAGAGTGGAAGTTCCTCTGGAGCAAAGATGGAAATGAATGGCTTAAATTGTTCTGTAAAACAGGGAGGGATATGTTAGAGTTATATGAATGTAAAATAATAATAGTGTGTAAATTACTATAGTGTGAGGGGGTTGTGACATTAGAATATAAGATCCTCTGTTTCAGAGACTGATAAGACAGTTCTCTGTACAGTGCCTCAAAATGAGAGGACAATAATATTACTGTCCTCCAACATACACATGCAGGTCAGTCATGTCACTGTAAACACATTAGGACTGCAGTTACAAATTTGGCTAGTGATAAGAAAGAGTTGAACTCTACTGATAAAGGAGTCATCTGGCCAATGAATTATTTGTATAAAAATACACATACAAATATAAAGATATAGTATCTTAAAAATGTTTCCCTACTGTTGGCTTTTTTGCACCATGTCCATTGAGCTGCATAGATCAACTCAGGCTTAATGTAAGGGACATAGAAAACAATTGTTTTGCATGTGCCTTGTTCACATCATACATGTGCAGTGATGTGCAGAGCACAAAGCTGTAACCAGGGGCGGACTTACCATTTGGAAACTCGAGCAGTAGGGGGCCCCATGAGATGCCCCTGGTACCTTTTTCATAGACTTTTTTGAGTTTGGGCAAGGACACAGGGGCCCCATGATCCCCTATTGCCCGGGGGCCCCATGAGTTGTCAGTCCGCCCCTGACTGTAACATACCTGCATTATTGTCCAGCTCTACTCATTGCACTTCATGTCACTGCACTGAAGTGAGATAGAGTTGAATGAAGTATCATTTTGTGACACTTCAGTAGTTAAAAAAGTAAACAATGCAATGCATTGTAACAACGTGCACCACCCCTACACAATGCACACCAGTGCACATGCATTATGACTGTGTACTGATATTTGCAAGGAAGCAGCACAGCAAAGAGAACCAAGCTGCTGGCTGGGGCAGTGTCACAGAAAGCAAAAAGAGCAACAGGAGATCCCAAAACTGATGACAGTTACCTGCCCAACAGCTTAGCAGTGAAGAGCACTTTGTTTCTTTGTAAAGGGAATCTGGAGTTTTGGGGGAGTGGTGTGTGTAGGGGCACTTTTATACTTTGCCGCTCCGGGAAATTACCTGGTTTGTCCAATCTAAAAGCTGGCTATGGCTTTTGCTGTGGGTTTTATAAATTGTGTTAGATTTTAAATATATCTAAAGCCAACCTTTTTTTAACTGTTGAAACGAGTACGGAAGAGGTTGAACCTCAAGTTTATATTGCTACTTGTAGATGGAACACACAAATAGTTTGAGGTATAAACCACAAATAAAACCAAAAAATATTGTGTGTTGCACTGCTGCCACAAAATCAATAAAAAATAAAGTATGGATTTAAATAATACCATGTGTGAAAGTATACAACATACAAAAGCACTCCTTTGTTTGATGTGGTATACTTTCACACATGGTATTATTTAATTACATACTTTGTTTTTTTTTATATTTTGTGGGAGCAGCGCAACACCCAATAATTTTTGGTTTTAGTTATACACAATTGTGATGCAGACACAATAGCAGTGATTGCAGCAGCTGGGATATTTGCATCCATCCCTTTTCACTTAGTACACACTTGGCAGCGCCCTAAATTATTATTTTGTTTATACTTATATTATTTTATATATAGCCCTTACAGAAGACAACCTTGATTAAAAACATTTAGAGACACACTTTCAGAAAAGTCCCTATATAAATTGATGTTTGGAGGCATTGCTTATTAACCACTGAATATGTCCTTTTTCTATAGATGTGTCCCTAGATATTTGTGTAGCTAAGTATCTTAGAATTACTTTCAACACTATAGTGTAAAGAATTTGATGCTTGAAAACACATAAATTATATGGATAGAGACCCACAGATGTTATATGGTTGTAAGGATGCCAGATATTTATCAAGGTAAGTATCTTACCTTGCCGTGATGGAAATAATATAATGCCATTATCCAGACAACAGGGCAGAGCACTGTAATGATATAAACTCCACTAACTTTAATGAGAACAAAACATCCAAAATATATGTATATCTGCCCCAGACCAGCAAACAAAGAGCAGAGTGTCCTCCAGCACATAATTCTAAATGGATATCACTGTAACTATGCCATAAGACAATGTCAGCAATTAAAAATGCTGGACTATTCTAGAATAATACCACTTGATTAGTAGCAGTCCAAGATGCTCTAAAATCTTCAAGTATATTAAACTGTACTGAAGATATTTGCAATAAAGTCCACAATCAATATTGATATATGCTTCCAAGCACTTTATTAGGCACATACCAGAGTCAGTGGCTATCAAATAGTTTAGCAATTATGGCTTTCATGACCAAGTCGGTATCCTGCATATATTGTATTAACCAATGCCATTTTCAAGGAGTAACAAGCACTGTATTATAGCAATCCAGGATTGTAAGATCTGCATGGGACACTGCGACCACCGCAACTGTAATGCACGTCATCACATGAAATTGAGGTAATCACAAGGCCACACTGTTCCCAAGGTGCTGTACAACAGTTGCTTTACCAGAAATACACAACATGGAAATCAAAAGAACAAAAAAAGTTACTTGTTAATAATGTTTTCTGACAAGAAAAGAAAAACTGTTACTTAGACTTTGATGGTGCCAATATAAACCTTACAAAGCACCCGTCACCTGCTGTTGTCCATTGAAACCCTAATTTCCTCATTTAATGTGTCATTTCCAAGGGTTTGTAAAGGAATTCTGTAGCCAGAAAAACAGAGATTTATAAACTATCTCAGCTAAGCCTTGCTTTTCACCATGAGCTATAAAAATTCAGCAGGAACAGCTTTAAGGCCTGTTCCCCTCTGTGTTGACCCACTGTATAGCACATTTGATTTAACAGACAGATTGCGGATTCAAGGTTGGGATTTTAAGCCTAGACAAGAGCTTGATTTCTTTCCAAGTTTTTACTGATTGGCTCAGCAGGTTAGCCTTTCATTTAATAGGCAAGACCATGTTAAGAACACTGCTGCTGCATATCACACTGTGTTCTTTCCAAACTCATCAGATAAGATTGAAACCTGAGGAATATAGCTGTACACTACATATGATATTTGTTTGAAAGTAGCTATCTAGCTATCTATCTATATATTAGAGAGAGATATCATACCATTTTAATAAATCTCATTAATTTAATATTACATGTTCTTTGAAAAGAGAAAGTCTTTTTAAACAGCTTGATACTGAATTTTTCTTAGCTCAAGTAAATATATGATCAACATGTGTCAGTTTTAAAGATTCCTGTATAGTCGACAATTTATATTGGTAACTCCAAAGGGTTTAGATAAAACAGCCCTCTTTTCTTCTTTTGTAAAAAAATTACTAACACTGGCAGTCAGTACATGAATGAGCAGGACTAGTTGGTAAGAATGCAAATGTGGTTATATATGCACTCACCAAGTTAGATGGCTATTATACATAGCTTCTCTTTCTGTTTACATGTATCAGTTATTTGCATGAACACTGAATGGACAGATATTTGAGTTATTAGTATGCATCATGCCGAATATCAAATTCTCTTCTTAGAAGATGGCAACCTTTTGCTGAGTTCATCTGCAGCTTATTCAGTTCCCTCTGGCTAGAAAGCACTAATTTAATTCAAACTGAAACCCACAAGAATCCTGACACCTAATTGTCTCTACATAACAAGCAAGCTTTCCACCTAAATATGGCCTTGTCTCATATGAAACAGTGACCACAAATGTTGTTGCCCAGACTGGATATGCTAAAATTACTTTTAGTTTTTACAGTCAAACTTTCCTTTCTGAATACTGTTGGGGGGTCGTGACAATACTCTGTTACTTTGCAATGCAGACAAATCATAATTTAAAATGGCAAAACAATTCTCATTAATAAAAAAGATCTTTCTGATTGGTTGCCCAAATGTACAACTATGCTTCCATGTGTTGAAATGTTTAAAAGAGAAGCTTGTGAATTAAAAAACAAAAAGTCATATTCAGTCCGATGCTGCATCTGTCCCCATTCAAGGAACTGCTGATCCCTCAGTTCTCGGGTCCGCTCTTGGTCTTCAGTAGTTCTTGGTATTCAGTGAGCAGAGAGCCGGTGATTGTCAGTCTCCTGCTCTCTGCTCTGCCTGGAGCTCCAGGCTGTTGTGGGGGCAGGAGCGGCTGGCTCAGACTCTCAGCAGCTCACTAAGAGACTGAGCCAGCTACCAGTTAGGAATCTGGGTGGATCCTGAAGTAAAGTGGTGAACTCTTCAGAGCCTAGACTGGCTAAGTGATGTCAGTCAACAGCAGTCTCTAGCACACTGTTGGCTGTATACAGGTCACAGAAGTGCAGAATTAAGGGCATTCTTGTAACCCACAGGAGAAGTTCTCCTTTAAGAATATTAATATTAGTATACTACTAGCCTCTAGTGAGAGAATTCAGAGTGTACTACAGCTTTGCATGCTTGTTCTGTGTCAAGACACTAAAACTACTTAAGCCAAAGACAACCAGGCAAATTCAATTGTAGAGGGAAATAGCATTCTTCATACTTTTAGTACAGGTTTCCTTTAAGTTGCATATAAATCTTTCACCAACTCATACGCACATCCATTATTTACTGCATTCTGACCAATCTCCTCTTTGGGGACTACCCTTCTTCAGTACTATAATAGTCTAGCCTAACTCATAATTTTCTAGATCTTCTGCAACAGCAATGTCAACTCTCAAATTCTTCTATTGCTATAATTTGTACTAGATAATAAGAATGGCATTGAGTTATGAATATTGCATTGTGCACTACACTGTTCTGTCTATAGACAGATTTCTACAAGACAAAGGTTTCAGTTAAAATTTCAATAGAAAATGGACTGGTTAGGTTAACTGTAATGATTTACAAAAGTGCAAAGTATAAAGCAACCAAAAAAGTACAGGTTAGCCCCTTACATTTATAACATGGCTGTATGATAAACGTAAATTCTGGCATTTTCATCACAATCCCCAGGACAGTTAATGGACTACCATGGCAACATTTATGTGCAAGAAATGTGTGACCATTCATATATCACATTTCACATTTCATAATGATTTTAGAAGGTCTATTAGATAATCAATGGCAACCACTTAGTGTGGGCCTGAAATGGAGACTATGATAAATGGATCTCATATATGATAAGGTATATCTAATAAAAGTGTTGAGTGGAGATTTTGTTCTTCTAAAGATTACACCAAACAATAGCTGACCAACATATGTACTGTTGAGATATAGCATTGAGGATGGTTCTGTATATAAGTTGAAGATTTTGATGTTAATGTCTGAACAAAGATGATGTGTCATGTCAATTTAAAATAATACCAGCACAGATAACCATTTGTGATGTGTGTTTATGATTTGGACCAGTCAAAATTACTTAGCAGTGAGTATTTTGAAAGGTGACCATGCAATCTATAATGTGCTCATTCTATCTACCATCTGGGCCAGATTTTATTCTTTTTTGGAAACTTACTTTGGCTGGCATTTCAACAATATCCTGAAACAGTTCCCTGTATTACCTTAAACTGTGTTATCTTGCCCCAAAATGAAACTGTTACATTATAGTAGTTACATTTTTGGGGCAACCAGTTCCTTTTTGGGAAACTCAAACAGATCACAAAGTTTTCTTTATAACCACATATTTCCAATTTGTTCATTAATATTGATTGCCTTAAAGCTGATTTGTGCATCTGGCTGAAGTACAAGGAAATAATACAGTAGTAGATAAAG